TCCAGTCTCATATAGAGGTGTTCCATTCATGGACTATTTTGTTGTAATTGCTCCCCACCTTCACACCCGTTGGCAACAATGTTGGTCTGATCTGCTCAATAAGAAACTTCATTCTATTAAACCATGTGTATGTTACTGGCCATCTTCTTGTCATCAGTGCTGAGGTTGGGAGACACTCTTGTCTTCGCATTGGCCACACTCTTCTTACTCATGGAGAGGCGCCCTGTTCCTCTCTGTGAGAATTGTCAGGTTCCAGTATCGGTTAGCCACATTCTGTTAGACTGCCCACTCTATCGACGAGCACGCAGAATTTACCTCCGTCGTCGTCTCCACTCTGCTGCTCTCTCTTTACCTTCCCTTCTTGCTGATGGACCCTCCTTTAATCTGCACTCTCTCATTGACTTTTTGACAACTGATTTACTCCACAAACTCTGATGATACCTTTAGCACTCCCCTCAGCCCTTTCTACCTTAATCTCTTGCTACCCTCTACCCCTGCACTATCCACTGCCCCGCTGTTCTCCGTAACCTACTAATCATCCCTCACCCTTTTGCCACCCGATACCCTCGCTTCCTTCCCTGTTCTGCAGCGCTGTATAGCCCTTGTGGTTTAGTGCTTCTTTTTTATTATAATAATATAATAATTCTAGGAACATGTCCAGTGACTGTGTATATATAATATAGAAAAAAGTAATAAGCAACATTTTCTTTTGTTTGTGTAAACATGTTTTGCAAACAATATAATGACAATGTGGTTATTGTGTAGCATACAATGAGTGAATTTATATACAATATGCCTTATATTGATCTCACAGGCCATAAAAGTTACTTGAAAAAATTAAAATTTTAAAAAATAAAAGAAAAATGTATAAAAATAATTACCGCGTGACCGGTAGTCAGCGATGTTGCTGTAAGCGGTTCACTTTATCAACTTTACGCCTCTATATCTTGGTAGGTATTGATCGTAAAAAATTTTTTTTATTAAAACACTAACAAAAATAATAATTTTTTTTTTTTTTTTTTTTTTGAATATTTTTCAACCCTGAGTGGCAGTTCAGGATCGAAGGCTCTCGACCCTCACAGGGTTAAACAATTTAATTCCCCTCATCCATTGGTTCTTTGTATTCAACAATGATTGTACCATGTGACTAGCAAAAACAAAGACGTCATTTTCTGTTGGGTCCTTGGACACGCCCATGTGCAGGGCAATGAACAGGCAGATGCTGCTGCCTGGTCAGCGGTACATGATCTTCTGGTTTCCTATAGAGGTATTCTGTTCAGGGATTATTTTGCAGTCAATTCTGCCCATCTTCGCGGCCGTTGGCAACAGTGATCAGACATGCACCATAACAAACTGCACTCTATTAAACCGCTTTTAGGTTTGTGGCCATCTTCTTACCACCGTTGCCGTACTCGGGAGACTGCACTCTCCTGTCTCCACATTGGCCATGCTCACCTTACCCATGGGTATCTCATAGAACGACACCCTATTCTTCTCTGTGAGGTTTGTTGGGTCCCTATTTCGGTTCTTCACTTTCTTGTGGATTGCTCAGTTTACCATTGAGCTTACAGGATTTACCTCCAACACCGTACCACTCTTCCCTTCTTGCAGACAGCCCTGCCTTTGACTTACAATCACTATTTGACTTTTTGTCAGCAACTGCTTTACTATACCAACTTTGACACAGAGCCTTTTTCTCCCCCTCACCTCTGATCCCCTCTCCACTTAGCTGTTTATAGCTCCAGCACTATTTTCTGCACTGCAGCTCTGCATGACCCTTGTTGGTTTAGTACTTTCTTTTATTATAATATTACCACCTACATTTTTATTTAACAGTTGTAGTCTCCCAGTGAGGTGGGGTGACCAATCCCCCCCCACCCCAAAAAAAAAAAATAATGCATTCACCTACTGTTTTGCCAGATGCATGCTGACATCACACTGTATAATAGTAATATTAACAGGGTAGTCATTAAGTAGTACATGTATTTTAATTAACTTTATTAAAATACTGTAATTAAAGGTGCTCATGTTTCTCGTAGAAAAAATTCCTTTCTTTAATGATAGAAATGTCTGATACAGCCATGCCCTTTATATTACAAATGCCTGATACAGCCAATAGCTGGGCACGCTACATGAAATACAATGGTTGGAATGTAATGGAAAAATCAAGAATATATTTAGAAAACTGGATATATATATTGTAAAGGTCTTCTGAAAATGAGAATATAGAACATTCTAAACATCTAGGAAGTAACTACAGCAATTTCAGAAAAAATGAATGCCTACCTACCTTAGTTACATAAAGCAAAAAATATGTAATTATGAGTGAGGATAAATTTGGTACTGGCTGCCATTTGGAATGAATAGTTTATTTATCCTTTGTGTAAGTTAAATATAGTTAATGATTGGAAAGAAGAGTACTAGCAGTAAAAATAAAAATTTCAAACACAAACCAATAGGGTATAAAATACTGCAATCTTATTGACCAACCTATATTCCTTAGGCTTTAAACCAGAGTGAGGAAGTGAAACTGTGATACAGTATATTAAATCCAGTAAGGTGTAGTTAAACTGTTGATTTAGTCAACGTGGATAAAATAAAGCCAACTGTGTGTACAAGGAGGGGAGGGAATGGGATGGGGAAATGAAATAATAAGGGAAGCCTGTCCTTATGATGAACATTTAGTTTCCAACATATAAGGCACCAAGAAGATAATCTATGAACTCAGTGGCAAGTGAAAATTGAATTTTCTGTACCAAAAATGTTAATCATTTAAGTACAGTGGACCCCCGGTTTTCGGCCGGTGCAGAAATCGTACAATTCAGATTTTGAGCACTTTTTTTTAGCGACCTCCCCCCTGAGTTTCGTACATCGGCTCAGAAATAACGGTACCAAATATTATTATTATAATAAAAAAGAAGCGCTAAGCCACAAGGACTATACAGCATAATGGTACCAAACGCATTCACCTGGGCCGCTCATACGTTCGTGACTCACTCTTGGGTACACTAAATGTCTTTTAGGTTAATATAGACATTTTTATTAATCCATCTATGATATTTTCTTCAAAATTATACTATAAGAAACACGTTACAAGTTTATATGCTATCGAGGGGTGGGGTCGATTGGAGGGTAAACATTACGTTTTCTCTGGTCCAGTTTGAGAAAATGTGTGTGAATCTGCGTTGGCCCAGTAAACATTCTTAATTGTACATAAGGCTTTTGTTTACAATTCTCAACATGAATTATTCATTACTTCTCCCTTTATGATGGCATCTAAAGGTAGTTGTTAGAAACAATTAAACTCAGTGAACATTGTGTATCAATGGTAATAATATGGTTGTAGGCTGCAGTGTATGTAGCTATACGTCTGGGATGTAGTCTCTCGGGTCTACAAATAAATATTACTCACCAAAAAGTGTCTTCAGTAAAGGTATGTAATGTTCATTTATAAAAATTAGTCATTTATATTTATTTCTCACTGCTTTCTGTATGTAAAACTATAGTTATTCTCTATAAAATGTATTGTTAAGATCTTTGGGTGTCTGAAACGGATTAATTGGATTTACGTTATTTCTTAAGGGAAATATTATTTCGGTTTTCTGTTATTTTGGATTTAGGGCAACCTTCTGGAATGGATTATGAAAACATGGGGGCTACTGTACATACATCACTCAGATAGGCAAGTTTGTCATTATTTTACCCTGCCTTTTTGCTGTATGAACCTATTTTGTTTAGTGCTTAGTTTATATTACTATTACCCTGCCTTTTTTCAAAGAAAATAAAGGGATGTGGTTATAACTAAAATCAGTGACTTGGTCCTGAGAAACTGACACTTGCCAAACCATCTTGAAGCTTGTTAAATTTGCATTACAATCAAAACCAAGTATGAAGTCCAGCGGATTACTGTGGCTTTATACATGAGAACATTATTATTATTATCAAGGGGGAAGCGCTAAACCCGGAGGATTATACAGCATACATGAGAACAAATATGAATGCTGTAAGACCCACAGTGCTGCAGGGCAGGGTGTGCTTGCTTGATTAGAGACTAGTGAGTTAGAAAGGACTGTTAAAGGAAGTACCATCAAAGTTTGTGTAATAAATCTGTTGCTGTCAAAAAGTCAGAGGTAGTCCATGTTAAAGGTGGAGCCGTCAGCTAGGAGGGAAGATAAAGTAACAGTGCTAGAGGTAAATTCTGCGTGCTTGCTGGTAGACAGGACAGTCCAATAGAATATGGCGAACTGAAATTGGAACCTAACAATTCTCAGAGTGGAACTGGGCACCTTTCCACAAGCAAGATGTATGCACCTGAAGTGAAGATGAGAGAGCGTAGTCTCCTAACCCTGGCATCGATAATGAGTAGTAGGCTAGAAACCTAAACTTGATGGAATATAATTTATGAATCAGATTGAAGGTGGCTCAAGATTACAACAAAATAGTCTGAGAATGGAATGCCCTTACATAGAATACAAAGGTCAAGTACAGCTGACTTTACAGCCGAGTCTGCCTACTTATTGCCCCGAACATCTACTTAACCAGGGACCCAGCAGAAAAAGATTTCTTTGGGAGTGCTGCATTTCTGTCAGAAACAAAGTTAGATATGAAGAACTAAGGGATGAGGCGAATTAAATTTTTTGATAATTTATCCATTTTGCATGGATGCAATATGGATAACTGCAATGAGAACTGCACACAAGTCAGCTGTTAAAATGACTACACACAACACTGCTGCAAACCCCACACTGCAAATTTGCATTAAAATGAGCCCATTGATCAAAATTGTATGGGTGGTTACCACTATTTTACCAAAAATTTGTGGGAGATTTGCTTGTGACATTTGGCAAGTTTGTCAGTTTTCTTCTTGGCTGGCCCCTCATACTTTGTTTACGGTAATGTACTCCTGTTTGCCTGTCTATTGTCACTATATGATAACACCTGTGATTATGCATTTTAAGCCTATTTAGTTATGCCCTGTTTTTTCCCCCTTTGCAACATCATGCACTCTCAAGGTCATATACTGTCATTTTACCATAATGAAAGTTTTTTTTTTTTCAATAGACCATGTCACAAATTTTCCTCAGTGGAAAATTTTTTGTTATGAAATGCTAAAATGATTTTTTAAATTGTAGATACAAAATTACATTGTAATAATAATATTAATAAAAACTAAGCATTAAACTCTCAAGGGTCATAGAGACAAACTTATGTTTATTTATGTAAGTTTTAAGACAACTTTATCTCAGCAATGAAGCTTTCCAAATTTATGTATCAGGTTCATTTCTGACTTTAAGCACTTTAATTCTCCAAATGATTTCTCAACAGCTGCTTGCAAAAAGTATTCATACAGAGAGAGAGAAAGATAATCTTAGCCCATTCACTAGGTTTATGATGTTAGAGGATTAGGTTGACCTAGCAAATTAACATAACCTGAACAAGGAGGTTGTAATGAAGATGGATACTAGTAATTAGTTTGACAGTTCTGCAATGCACATACTGAAAAATGGTTTATAGTGTAAGGACAAGTAGTAAAACAGGGTCTAATTGAGTATGCACGTTGATAGGAGTGTCAAAGGGTTGCCAAGTTTAGCACTTTTCACATTAGAGTATTATTCTTATTACTGTTAGGTAAAGTACATTAATACAGTATCTAATGCATATTACAGTAGTTGTTACTACCCTTACCAATTCTTTATCTTTTGTAAAAATATACAGTACAGGAATATAGACAATGAACAAACAGCCTCAGCCTGCTAGGAAATTTACCTCCTATACTAAATAACAGCATGTACAAAAATTTTAAATCAAACAATATTACTGAGCAATGATGACAATGTAAATATTGTATGCTAAATGCCTTAATATTTTAAACTTAAACTTTAACACTGGTTGTTTCACCAAGGTAGGTGACCCAAAAAAAGAAAAGCTTCTGCGTTCATCCAAAAGCGGTCTTGTTCTTCGAGAAACTTAGATTTTCATCTCTACTTGCTGGTATTAAGCAACTGATGAATTCAATTTTGGAAATGAGCTTGTGCAATGGACACGGTGCATGTCATAAACATTTTTAAACACTTCTGTACAAGCACACATGTACATATTTGCAATGAATGGTGTAAACAAAAACAGGATCAAGCTAACATTCATATCATGGGGATTTACAGCCATGTATAGTGCGAGTACAAATAAGCACATCTGTCTCACGCTTATTAGATGGAAAGACCAAACTTCCACCATGTCTTGTGCTGAATGACCCACATGGGTTTAGTGCTTAACATGAATTATTTCTTTGTATAGGTGCTTATGTGTTTTAAAGGAAAAAAAAAAAAAAGTATATTCCCAGAATAAATAATTGAACTCTTATGTCAAACCAAAATGTGTTGATTGATAGGAAAACATCATACATAAGAATGGGAGATAATGAGCCAGGATATAACAAAGTAGAAAAGAAATATTGGATATACTGCTAGGGCTTTCCTAGTGCTTGGCTGACTATCTCCGAGGAATACCATGGCAGCTGAAGAGAAAAATAAGAAAAATCATAAGTCGTGCAGCACAGTAAAATTGTTTCACTAAATTTTAAAAAAAAATTTTAACCAATTTTTTTCTACTACTACATCTCCAGTTAAATTTTTTCTAGTAATGCAGGGGCCTGAAGAAGTAACACTCACACTTTTGATCCTCCTAACATTAAAAAGAGTCTACTGGAAATTGAAATTGCTGTAATAGCAGGCTATAACATCAAAATACATAATGGTAGCAAGTAAGGAAAATGAGTGCAAGACTCTTGCACTACTGTGAAATTTTGTTCACAAATGAATGAATTTCTGGAATCCATAAAATCAATCTTAAGAATACAGTGGAATCTTGACTTACGAGTGTCCCAACATATGAGCTTTTTGAGATACAAGCCGTCAACCGGTTGATTATTTGCTCCGAGTTATGAGCCAGCTCCCCCCCCCACTTCCCCCTCAACCCAAAACCTGGACACCTCTCTTGTTTATCTATGATTTCATGATTTAATTCCATGAAAAATCATCCTTTTTCTTATCAGCACTGTCCTTTACCCTTACTTTCTTAGGACCCATGGTTAGAAAAGCAAAATTTGGCCAAATGACTAAGTGTAAGCAAATCAGGAAAGAACTGCTCCCACAGCTAGGTAAACAGTGCACTAAGCTGGCTTTGTTCTGAAGCTCTCGTTGTTATAATAATGTATTATTAGTATTAATTTAGGGAACTGAAGCTCTATCATTATTGTAATAATAATAATAATAATTATTATTATTGATAATTTATGAAACTGAAGCCCCTCGCCAACCCTCAAGGTTCCTTGACGCTGGTGAGGGAATAATACAAAATGTACCAAATGTATGCGTGGAACTGAGCACACTGGTTTGTAAACAATGGCACACTAACTGAAGGCAGGGCAGCTGAGGCCTGCTCAGGCCAGACGGACACGTGGACACATTGGGGATGAATGTCATTGGTCGGGCCAAAATTTTTACGCTCAAACGCATCATTACGCGATTTTATCGTTAGACGATGCCATCGTTGGTCGAGGGTCCAGTATATACATGTACTCAGGAAATGGCGGACGCTTCTGCCGCTAGGCATCCACCATATTATGGCCTATTTTATTCATTCTAGAGTATATATCATGTTTCTGTGTTAATTATATTGTTTATGTCATATTAGATGAATTGTGATAGATAAATAAACTGTACAGTTGATAACAGCATCATGTTCAAGTATTTTTTCTCTTCTCTCCAGAGTGCAAGAATGAATTAATTGCTTTTCAATTAATTTAAATGAGGAAAATTAATTTGATATATGAGTAAATTGAGTTACAAGCTAGCTCCTGGGATGAATTAAACTCATAAGTCAAGGTTCCACTGTACAGTAGACCCCTGCCTTACGATCAGCTCCCAACTCGAACAATTATGTAAGTGTATTTTTGTAAGTGCTCTTGTATGTGTATTTTTGGGGGTCTGAAACGGACTAATCTAATTCACAATATGCTGTATAGCGCTTGTGGCTTAGCGCTTCTTTTTTATTATAATAATTCACAATATTCCTTATGGGAACAAATTCGTTCGGTAACGGCACCCGAACAGACTTCTGGAATGAATTAATATCATAAGTAGGGGGTCCACTGTATTTAGTTTTGAAGCTCCTACTACTGCTACCATTATTATTATTAAACAAAACTAACTAAACCTAACCATACTTAAAACTAAAGATCTAAAATTTTAGTGAAACTGATAAACTTTACCATAAAAAAAAAGAAGAAAAAAAAATCCAAACAACATAATCTAAACATTTAAATAAAACTGAAAAAATACTCTTAAGACCTATGGTAAGAGCAATGTATAAAGCTTTATTTTGGGGACAAGTATACCGTACCCTGGTTTTGGTTGGTAATTTAGATGAAAGGGAAAATTTAACTTCCATTATCATGTTATGATCAAATATTTTGTAGTTAAGACTGTATTCTGCACCTCTAAGCAGTAAAGTGCCTACCTCATAAAATGAACCAATTATATTAATGCCAGAAAGGGATACCCCTCTATCTCCCCACAATAGTGCTTCCTTTGGATATGCAGTATATTCCATAAACATAACAAAACCTGGTTTAGAAAAACACATAAGCAAACACTAGGACATGTTTATTAGAAAACGTTTCGGCCCTGAGACCTTGATCACTTCTAACATACAAAGGTTGACATTATATACAGGCAGAGAGTGAGGTGTGAGTGACGCATGGTGACTTGAAGAATGTAATGTTGGGATGAGGACGGTAGACGATGAGATCATGTGACTCCTGTGTTGCTCTGTAGGTGGTGCTTTGCCTGCTTGAATATCATGTATGCTAATGTTTTAGAAATTTTGTGGTTTCCAGTGTTACGTTCTATTGTGATGGCGATTAGCGAGGCTTCTAGACACCATTGGCATCTGAGGTCTGGTTCGGTGAGAATGAGTTGTGCCTCATCCCAGTTCATCAAATGCCCCGTGGAGTCTCTGTGGAGGACACAATTGTACCTTAAATCATCTCTGTTACTGGCACTTCGATGCTCATTCAGGTGAACCGCAAGATCTCTGCCTGTTTCACCTATATATTTCTTGGGACAAAATCCACAAGGGATGGTGCAGACGCCTGCTATGGAAGTTAGAGGTGTGGGGCTGTGTTTCATAGTGAGGTCTTTGATAGATGTGTTTATGGTGCAAACATTTATGTTACTCTTAGCAAGTGCCCAGCAAGTATTCGTAGCAACATCACTACATGGGAGCACTATGAACTGAACCTCACTCTCTGCTTATATATAATGTCTTTCAATCTCTGTATGTTAGAAGTGATCAAGGTCCCAGGACCAAAACGTTTTCTAATAAATATATCCTAGTGTTTGCTCACGTGTTTTTCTAAACCAATTTGTTTATATTTATTACCAAGGTTTATGCCATAACATAACCTACCAAAAGTGGCCCACACAAATCCAATGCAAGTGACAATGAATCTGAGGACAAAAAGGATCTTAGTCGGATTGGCGATGAGTATGAGGCGGCATAAGATGAGAGACAGGCAGGAGGGCAGCAAGCAGTAACCCAGGACACATACGGACTGGAAAAACGATCTGGAAAATGTTATTTATTGACAAAATTTTAAATATGTAGAGGCACACACAAAACTATAAAATGGCATACTATTTACATGTATAAAATTAAAAAAAAAAATTACAGGAAAAGATGAAGGCTAAGACATATAAGAAACATTACTGTTTGAATAAAGCTAACTCAATCATTACACTATTGACACTCCCCCTCCCCCCCCCCCCACAAAAAAAAAAAAAACTACACCTGCCTCCTAGCTGCCTAAAAATGGGCACAGACAACAATTCTCACAACTTTCAAAAAGCAAGCATGAACACCACATATCCAAGCCTGCTTGTTTTTTTTCTTAATCCATTAACCCCTTTGGCATTGGTCCTATAATATTATGGCTTTGAAGCCAGTGTCAGTCCTGTAATACTATGCCAAAATTCTAGTTGCTTCAAATCTTGCAGGAGAAAGCTGGTAGGCCTACATGTGAGAATGGGTCTGTGTGGTCAGTGTGCACAGCATAAAAAAGATCCTGCAGCACACAGTGCACGAGAGAAAAAAACTGCAACCGTGTTTTTGGTTTAAAATAATGACTTTGCAGTGTATTTTCGTATAGTATTTACGGTTGTATTCTCATTTTCTTGGTCTCAACTGATAGAATGAAAGATATATTACAGAAGTAGAGATGATATTGAATGGTTACCAGTCTATAAGTAGCTTGAAATTGAGCTCCAAGTGGTGGAAATGTTCAATTTTTGCCGACATTCAAGAGTAAACAAATCACGTCATGCGTCCAATACATGTCAACTGGTGGGTCTAATATGCATTCACAAATGTGTTGATATTATTTATACAATTATGCAGTAGTCTGAATAACAGTAAATCTTCTATTTTTTGTGTGAAAAAAATTCAAAATGAAAAGCAAGCATAATACGAGGGGCCTGGAGACACGACTAATGAACAGAGAATATGTTATTTTAGTGCCATGAATGTCTACATTATTTATTCTGTGCCCTATTTTGAAATTTGCCTTGAATTTTGTGTGAAATTGGCCAAATTAGTATATTCTGATAAGTTTAGTGGGTAGTTGAAGTAAGTAAATGGGTGGCTTCTTGTACTCGATCCATAAAATAAAAGGAGTTCTAGCTAAACAGCTATGAGTTTGGTCAACTGGAACAATGGAATTGGCCCAAAATAGGGCTCAAAGTGGGAGAAATCGGAGACTGCTAACTTCATGAGAGCATAAATTTGTAAGTTTTCCATCAAATTTTGTGCTTTTGGTTTCATTACCTTTGATCCTGGGAGCAAGTTTGTGAGCAGGTGTCTCGACTATCAAAAGGTTAATGAAAACATTTCGGTCCTTGGACTTCGATTACTTCAAAATGCATGAGAGGCAGGCAGGCTATGTATAGAGGCAGGAGACAGTAGTAGTAGTATTGTGATGGTATAGTAACTGACAGTAGTAGTCCCTGAAGAATACCAAAAATGCTGAAGGGGTTATTTTGTGGCTGTGTCATGTGGTAATCTCATGGAAGTACGTTCTAATATCATATGGGCCCACTGGCGTTACCTTCCAGTGACGTAGGTATTGTACATATGCCACATGAGCTCTTGCCAAAAGTAACATTCAAGTCACCACCACTGCCACCGCTTCAGTTGCTGACCTCACCGAGAAAGTCTCCATTTAATATTCCCTCTAAGGAAACAACAGTACACACCATTCTGTGGGCAGTCTTATGAGGTTGATGTGTGAGATTCCAAAAGAAACGTGTCCATGAGAATTAACAAACATAAAAACACCTGCAGCAGGGATGACATCAACATTTGTGTCAGATACAGAAAGACATCTTATGCATTGGCAAAATGCTAAACCTAGGAACTAAACCTAAGATGACGAAGGTGTCTTGAAGATTCACACATAGCTACCTCTAACACCATTTATAATACTTCTACATTAACCATGAGACTGCCATGTGACACAGCCTAAGATGCACTCTTCTCCACTTTCAGCATCCTTCATTGACCATTACTACTACTACTACCAGTTTCCTAATATCCCCACTACCATTCCGTCCTGCCTCTATATATAACCTCTCTCTCCTCTCGTGCTCGGGTATTTGAAGTGATCCAGGCCCACAGATCAGATTTTTTCATTAAATTCTTAAAGTTCCAAGTGAATGTATTAATGTACATTTCCCTCACCCTACTTCATACTAATAGCAAAATGATGCTCAATTATACTCTCATTCCCTTTGCATCCATGAAAATTTTTTTCTTTCCACAGATTCCTCAACACTTCTACAATTTTTTTTCCGTCATCTATTTTGTGATTTACCCCAGTCTTTATAGGCTCATTTGCCAATTCATTCACTTCCAAGTGCATTATCTACATACCTTCACATCTTCCACATGCCTTCTAATCTGACCTTCAGTTACAGAACAGGTGGGGCTTGAACCTATGACAGGTAAATCCTAAAACTCACAGGCTAATGTGCTAACCATTGGACCAGCTGGACCAGTTTAAGACTCACGTGCCATGAGTTTGAGCCCAACCCATTCTGTGATTTGTTGGCAATCATGTTAATACAATTTTGTGACTCCTGATCTTCAATCTTTTGTTCCCTATAGAGAACTATTTATTATCACCACCTCTTCAAGAAGGCACTGAACAGTACCTGATCAGTACCTGATCAGCCAGGCTGTGGTTCGTATGTTAGTTAGCATGCGGCCAGCGGTAACAGCCTGGTTGATCAGGCCGTAATCCACCAGGAGGCCTGGTCACAGACCAGGCTGCGATGGTGTTGATCCCTGAAACCCTCTCCAGGTATACCCTGTACTGCTTATTTATTTTTAACTTCCTTCTACACAACTTTCCAAATTCTTTAACAATGTCTATCATTTAAGACCACATATCTTCCAAAACAGATGATGTGTGATCTTAAAACCGTTTATGAAATTTTGCCCACAAAGTACCAAACACTGTTTCTAAATAAACTTTATAGTGACATGGCAAGACTTACATGGTGCCACCCAGTAATTTGGTATTCATGGTGACAACTGCAGCACCCATCCATACAATGACAAAGACTTGGGCAAATTCAGGTCCACCATCATGTTTATTTGCATCTTCAGAGCCCTGAACCATCCTGCAAAATGAAATTAAAAAGATAAAATGTACTGATAACATAATGGTATGCAATGGCATCATTACAGTATTGTTTAATAATTATTCATGAAAGGTAATGAGCTGACATTATTTGTACAATTATTACAGTATTGCAGTAGTCTGCATAACAGGATATCTTCTATTTTTTGTTTGAATAAAGATTAAAAATAAAAAGCAAGAGTAATATCAGAGGGGCCTGGAGATGTGACTGATGAACAAAGAAAATGTTATTTTAGAGCCAGGAATGTCTGCATTGTTCATTCTGGACCTTATTTTGAAATTGTCATTTTTTTTATTTTCGTGAAATTGGCCAAATTGCAAATTTCTGACCACGTTATTGGGTAGTTGAAAATGGTAAATGGGCAGTTTCTTGTAGTCAAACACTGGTGGTGACCTGTACTTAGCACAGTGAAATTGTCATTTATTTAATTTTCGTGGAATTGGCCAAATTGCAAATTTCTGACCACGTTATTGGGAAGTTGAAAACGGTAAATGGGCAGTTTCTTGTAGTCAAACACTGGTGGTGACCTGTACTTAGCACACTGGTGATGTGTACTTAGCTCAGTGGTGACCTGTACTTAGCTCAGTGGTGACCTGTACTTAGCTCTGTAAAAACTTGTCTGTGTGCTCTCTGTGAATCTGAACCAAGATGTCCTCTCTTGAGCAACTCTGCCAGCAGCTAAAAGAGGAGCTTAGGGTTGCTAAGCTGGAGATACGGTGATTAATGGAGAACAAGAGGATTCGTAATCCTCCTGTTATGAGTCCTCAGGTAAAGAGGGGAACCCGGTCAGTGGCCGGGCAACATGGAACCAAGCTGAGGATCAAGAAGACTGTTGGTGAGGCAGAAACAATGAAGAACCAGAAGACTACTGTGGAAACTTCCAACCCATTTTCGGCGCTACCTGACGAACGTGGGTTGTCTACTGGGAACGTCACAATGAGCATCAAGGAAGCATTGGCAGATGTTAGTGAGACATCCCTTGAAACCCCAACAAAGATCATCGAGAACGTCACGACGAATTCCACACGTGAAGGTATGAACATTGTTTTAGTTGGAGACAGTCAGGTAAAGTTTATGGATAGGCCTTTTGTCTTAGGGACATGAAGAGAAGGCAGAGGGTATGTTTTCCTGGGGCTGGGATGGGGAATACTGTTAGCCATCTGGACGACATCATGAAAGGTAATGGGAGCAATCCTATTATCTTCCTCAGTGCGGGAGACAACGATGTTGGCAGACATAGGAGTGAGGACCTGATTAGCAGATATAGGTCAGCAATAGAGATAATTAGGAAGAAGGGTGGGAACCCTGTCATATGTGGTATTTTGCCAAGGAGAGGAATTGGAAATGAACGGTTGTCCAGGGCAATTGGTGTCAATTGCTAGCTGGACAAATACAGTAAGGCCCCGCTTTACGGCGTTCCGCTAATACGGTCATTTCAAATTATGACCAAAACTTGCTATATGGCTCCCCCCACCTGACTTTCTAATACGGTCACCGCGCCCCACCTTGTTTGTTTACATTCTCTGTGAGATCCGTAAGCACTAAGTCTCTCCATTATGTCTAGAAACTCCAAAATTTTAAGTGTTTTTAAAAGTTATTTCATATTTTATATATACTATGATAATTATACTTATGTATACCTGTACTTAAATAAACTTACATACTGTGCTGGCAGGCAGGTACACATTAAAATCAGTAAGAGTGTTTTATGTCTCCAGACGTCATATTAGTAATGATAATAATAATCACCGAGTCTCATTTAAATGTAGTATATTACGTTAATATACACATTTTCATTAATCCATCTATGATATTTTTTCAAGATTATATAATAAACACGATGCATAACATATATAATAAATACACCCCACAGTAGAATAAATAAACATAAATATGAGATGTGGTAGCAGACGACTTGCACAAGTGATGCCATATTAGAAATAATAACAATAATAATAATCACAATAATAATAATAATCACCAAGTCTCATTAAATGTCGTATATTATGTTATTATACACATTTTCATTAATCCATCCATGATATTTTTTTCAAAATTATATAATAAACATGATACATAACATATCAAGATGATAAATACACTCCACAATAGAATAAATAAACATAAATATGACATGTGGTAGCCAGATAACTTGTACAAGTGATGCCAAGAATAACATTTTCTCTAATCTAACATAAGAGAAAATGTGCTACTGGGGGTAACTGTAGAAAATTATTCCTTTCATATGCATGTAAGTTTATTCAGGTATACACAAATACAGTTACATAGATTATCATATATAACAGCATATGTGTAGAGAACCTAGGATAACCAAAAAAAAGTCAGACAGAGTGACTTATTTCCATTGCCTTCATTCAGAGTGTCATTTCTTCTCAAAATGATGTTACATGAGAATGGGAGTGTTCTTCTTTATTTATTCTACAGTATCAATGTAGAGACAACCTGTACACATTGTAACTTGTACACAAACCAGACGTGTACACTTTGTTTGTTTACAAAACTTACCTTCGCCTGGTTTGTTTACATAACTCTGCACCTGTCCTCTCTCATGCACTCATTCTTTCTCTCTCTCATTTATTCGTTTTATCTCATTTACTTACTCCTGACCCTATATTAAGACTACAAATATTTTAAGGTAAGTAATGAGTAAACTGTATATACATTTTATCACTCTGGGATGCTTAAATATCATAGAATATATGTGTGGGTGGGTTGGCCTGGTATGGTAGCCCAGCTGACTACCATACATACCACACTTGATTTTTTACAATAAATACTACTCATCTCACCCTAGATTAAGAGTACAGATATTTTAAGGTAAGTAATGAGTAAACTGTATATGCATTTTATCACTCTGGGATGCTTAAATGTAATAGAATACAGTGGACCCCCGGTTAACGATATTTTTTCATTCCAGAAGTATGTTCAGGTGCTAGTACTGACCGAATTTGTTCCCATAAGGAATATTGTGAAGTAGATTAGTCCAATTCAGACCCCCAAACATACACGTACAAACACACTTACATAATTGGTCCCACTGGGAGGTGATCGTTAAGCGGGGGTCCACTGTATTATGTGTAGATGGGGTGGCCTGGTATGGTAGCCCGGCTGACTACCATACATACCACAATTGATTTCTTACAATAAATACTACTTGTCTCACCCTAGATTAAGACTATAAATATTTTAAGGTGAGTAATGAGTGCACTATGTGTGTATTGTACTTTTTTATTGTTTTTTGATGCCAAGTTCTATTGTTAACTTAATATATGTTAGTGTAAACTTGTTATATAGTATTTGTATGCATTTGTAAGTGGAAAAAAAGGGTGTTCCACTTTACGGCGATTTCCGCTTTACAGCGGTAGCCTGGAACCTAACCTGCCATATAAGTGGGGCCCTAATGTACTGTAAGGAAAATGTGACAACATCCATTGACAAGTGGGACCTCTTCTATGGCAAAATCACATGTATGCTGCCAGGGATGGGGTTCACTTATCTAGGTCTGGGGTGGGGGCACTGGCAACTGCAGTGGAGGGAGCTGTTAGGGCTTTAACCCTTAGATGGTCCAAACGTATATATACGTTTTTTCAACATTTGAAAGTATGTAAAAAAATGTAGATCATCTTTTTTTTTTCATTTGAAAATGTGTAAAAAAACTTTTATCTACATGTTTTTTTTGTTATGTTCGAAAATATGTAAAAAAAACGTAGATCTACGTTTGGAGCACTACGGATTTGAACGTCGATCTGTTTGGACCGTTTAAGGGTTAAACTAGGAATAGTTAGTGGTGTGGGTTTTGGCGGGAATACAGTGAAGTCCCAGTGTAGGAATACAGTGGACCCCCAACCTACTATATTAATCCGTTCCTGAGAGCCCATCGTAAGACGAAATGATCGTAGGTTGAACTAATTTTCCCCATAAGATATAATGGAAATCAAATTAACCCTTTCAGAGTCCAAGGCCAAAATCTGAAGTGGTGCCCCAGTGTCCAAGAAATTTTGGGGAAAAAAAAAAAAAAAAAAAAAAAAAAAAAAAAAAAAAAAAAAAAAAAAAAAAAAAAAAAAAAAAAAAATTCTTACAGAATTAAAGATAATATTTTTGTGAAGGTAATAAAAAAAAAATTCTGATCAGTACTTACCAAGATACAGCGGCAGGAAGTTGACCCCAAATGACCGGGTGGCAGCAACATCAGTGACTTCCGCAAAATCCCAATTTTTTATTTTACGTTTTTATACTTTTTTCTTTTCTTTTCTAATTTTTTTTCTAATAACATTTGTGGCCTGTGAGACCAGTATAATGTATATTGTATAAGTGTACACTCATTGTATTCAACACAATAACTGCACTAATTTATCATCATATTTCTTAGAAAACTTGTTTACAAGTTTATTGTAAACAAAATGATGAAAATATTAGTGCGGTTATTGTGTTGAATACAATGGTACCATATAGTACCATATGGTACAATGGTGCTATAGGGTGCAATGGCACCATATGATACAATGGTACCATATGTTACAATGGCACATGATACAATGGCACATGATACAATGGTACGACATGGTACAATGGCACCATTTGGTACAATGGTACCATATGGTACCATTGCAACTGACCGTTTTTTTTTTTAATTAAAATGCCGAATTTGTGGTCTATTTTTGTATAGTATTTATGGTTGTATTCTCGTCTTCTTGGTCTCATTTGATAGAATGGAAAACATATTATAGAAATAGAGGTAATTTTGATTGGTTTTACTATAAAAAGAACCTGGAAATGGAGCTCAAAGTAGGGGAAATGTTTGATTTTTGCAGATGTTCAAAAGTAAACAAAAGATGTCATTGTCCAATAAATGTCCAACTAGCCATTCTAATATGCAGTCATGAATGGGTTGACATTATTTGTGCAATTATTAGTATTACAGTAGTCTGCATAACACTAAATCTTTTATTTTTTGTTTG